GGCTTGGCCGTGACTGTACCCCACGGGCAGGTGCTTTCTTACTTCCCCTGCACCACACCCACCCAACCCCCATGAGCATACGCACCCTCTGGCCAAATTCTAAAAAAGGAAAAAGAATACACTTTGCTTTACACTGTGCATAACCTTCTGTGTCTTCAAGGCTCATGTCCCACAGAAATGGAGGAAGCCAAAGAATCTGCACTGCAATCAGCACTTGGGAGACATACAAGTAAGAATTTAAAGAAAATCTCTAGGAAGAACCTCGATAATGTTGCAGAGGAGAATAATGATATAAATGACTTTTGACTTGAGCCTTTTTTTGTTTTTAAGAGAGTTGTTCAAAAAAAAAAAAAAAGAGTTCAGGTAGAACTGAAGTCAGGCTACTCTTACTCTACTACAGTTGTTCTTAACTATGGATGAAGGGTATCAGAGACCAGTGAGGATCTGAGAGCAAGCATAGATGTAAGAATTGTCCCACATGCAAACCTGTGAACTCGTAGTACATTCAAAGTCAGGGTCTTGTTTCAACTGAGAATCTTCGTTGGAGAAGAAAGGCAGGGGGGAAAAAGTTATGAAAAATAGGAATAATGCATACTAGCCTACGAGAGAATCACAAAGCCACAATAATTGAAACATCATGTTATTAGCACACACAAATTGCTGAAAACAAAGCCTTTTATATCTAGAAATAAAGTTAAATAACAGGAGGTTTAGGACATAATACAGGAGGCATTTCAAAACAGTGAAGAGTCCCTGTGGATTCACAGGGACTGAATATTAGTTAGGTGGATGTAAATACTCTAGATTAAAAAAAAAAAATGTAAAGATGGCTTGCTGTCATATGCCAAACTATGATGCAGATGGATGAATCACAGACTGAAGTATAGTCTTTGACTGACTTAAGGGCAAAACTCCAGGGGTACCAGGAAAAAAGACAAAATGTGCATATATTTACATAGATAGCCCTTTCTAAATCACATAAAACTTAAAAAGTCACAAAAATTAATACATATATTTGATTGTTAAAAAAAAAAAAAACCCTGATCATTAAAAACACCATAAAGAAGTCAGAAGACACAACTAGGTAACATTGTACAACACTGCAACATTGAGTGAAGTGCTCATTTCCTCAATGCATAAGGAACTCATACAAATGAGAAATACTGGGGCCACCAGGTGGTATAGTGGTTGAGATGCTGGACCCCAACATGGTTGACGGTAGTTCAAGTCCTGGACCCAGTGACTTGAACCTCACACAGGGTGTGTGTGTCCAAAATCTAGAGAGGAGAGTGGAAGAGAAGGGATTGTGGCAAGGCTGTCCCCCCTGGGGGAGGGGTGGTTTCTAGCTTTCTGTTCCTGGCGAGCACACATGCCCTATAACGAAAATTTCTCAAATAATTTTAAAAAAAGGCAAATGAGAAATAACAGAACCTCAACAAAGAAGGGGTACAGGGACGTTCAGCAGCTCAGACACAGAATATAACCAGTCTTCCTTAAGGGACAGTCAAATGAAAACCTTCATGCATCATTTTCACCCATCAGGTTGGCAAAGGTAAGTCTGCCATGTATGGAAGCAGACCCTTCCAGTACTGTTTGTGGGCTATCCTCTAGACTCTAGAGAATACTGAGAGACTCTTCATTTTAAGTGGAAGGATCTTTGACCTAATACAAAGTAGTAAGTCTACTTTAATTCTAGTCTCACAAGTGTACTTGTAAGTATGCACAAAGATTTTTCCCTGGAGATTTATTTATAAAGGTGCAAATATTTATCAGTAGAAGACGGTTAAAAGATTAGATGCACGTACATATGTATATTGCATTGTCAGAAAGCTCATGATGCATTTTTCTATATTTTTCTATGCAAAAATGTGTCATGACTTTTCTGACAGGCCAATACACACACACACACACACACACACACACACACACACACACCAGTATACAAACAAATGCAACTGTTCAAAATCGCTAGAGAATACACAAGTAGTTTGGTCTATACCAAACACTTATTGTTTGGGGAACACAGATGAAGAAAACTTATTTTGTGTTCTTTGAATTTGGAAATGAAGAAAAAATCTTATGACTCATGTTCTGAAGTTTTCCTCTCATGAGCCTTCTATTAATTTATCTCCTAGTTCATTTCTTCTCTTCCTGTCCCCCTCCCCTCCACTCATCCACAAACCCATGTGCCAAAAGTCAAATACACTGGGAAGCTTCCCCCCAGGTCCTAAA